CCTCACTCTTTCCAAGAGTACTATTTTAACCAATTTTCATCATTTTAAATTACGAAAAAGACTCATCAAATAATGATATCCACATTATTTTGTGAATTTTAATTAATATTTAAAATAATGAATTGGAATTTATAATTATTTTTTATATAGAGACACATTTTTAAGTTGGCATACGGAAACTAATCAAAGTATAGTAGTACTGTAATAAATAATTTGAATTTTATTGTAAAAAAATGTGCTCGAAGAGATAGTTATTCAGATATATATATATGTGTGTGTTACATTAAATATTAATAACATAATTATTTATAATCTATAATATATATATATATATAAATATTATCGACATAGAACTACATAAGGTCTAAAACTGACTTCGTTGAAAAGAGAGAGACAAGTTATTAAGTATGTACACTTTTTAGATAAATTTATTTTTAATTTTTAAATAATAAAAAATAATATTAGTTTAAAGATCAAACATATCATCAATTAATTTAATAAATATTAAATATTTTTAAATATTTTTATTAAATAAGATATAAAAATATGAAATATTTCAATTCCATTAATTACAATAATAATCATAAATGAATTCTGATAATCTCTATGTTAAAAAGAAACTGCATGTATGTAGATAAAAATCTTAAATCAAAACTAATAAAATTTAATATTAAATATTAATTTATTGTATAATAAAATAAAATGAGTGAGATTATGCAGTTTTACTAAAAAAAAATTATAAAGGATTAAAGTCTGTGATTATTCGTACAAATAATATAATTATAAAAAATTATATTTATGGTTTTGTCTAAACTCAAAGTGTTAAGACTAACCTGTACTACCCCGACCCTATTACAAAATGACATTTTGCAAGATTACAGAAACAGCCATTTATTTCATCATTAAAAGAGTTACTCGTTGTGTCAACAGTATTAACAAAGTGGATTAATACTGTCATTAATTTGTGTAAATGAAAAAAGAAATAAATGATAGATCTAGTAGTCGACTTGCCCTGCTCTATTTAATCACAATCCAATTTAGGCAAGTTGTATTAATACATGAAGCTAAATTCTAAAACAAAACGGTTCAACTAATTTTTGACCTGTAGGTTTGTCAAAATTTCCAAATTGGTGTTATTTAAAAATAAAAAATAAAATATTGTATTGATTTTTTTAAAAATGTGTCGTAAATACATAAGTTAAAACAAAAAATGTTTATTATATAAAAAATTACAAGTTATTAATGTTTATTTTTTAAACTAATTTAAAACATTTAACAGGATATATTTGATTTATGATGCTGTGTTTACTGGCGCACAATAAAAATGACATGTTTTTAATAATTTTTGTTTTAAATGTAGTATAATAGTTTTAAGAAGAAAAATGGGGGAACCGAAAACGTGTTTTTTTTTTTGGATGTAGACAAGAGTAGGTGTTTGGCATGAATGAATTAAATGAAAAGCAAAGTAGAGAGATTTAGATATTATAAATAGGGAAACATATAAAGAAAGGGCATACCATGATAGCATGAGTTGCAGAGTTGTCTTTGATGGAAGGCCAAGCATCCACCTTGTTTAAGGCTGATGAGCAGTGCTCATCTTCTGCTACTTCATCCATCGGGAAGGACAGCCCAGACAATGAGAGTGACAATGATGTTAACAGCTCCTATACATGTCATCCACCTTTCCACAACATCAACTCCCTTCACCTGCTTCTGCCCATCAGGTTCTTCCCCTTCTCAAATCACACTCCCTTACCTTTACCAACTTCCTATTCTTTTCTTTTTCCAACTCATTTCTATCACTTTAAAATAAACATGTTTCAATTTTAAACCAAAAACACCCATTCTAATTTCATTCACTCTACTAAGTTTGGCTGTCTGTCCAAGCTTTTAAAGTTAAGTATATTGAGAAATATATTAGTAAAAAAGACATCATGCCTTATGATTTTTAGTTTAGTTAAAATATGATGTTATGTTTACTTGTGTAGTTTATTTATCACATCACTCATTTAATGAAGTTTTCCTATATATATATATATACACGTGTTTTTTTTTCAAGGTGGAAATAATTACGTTGTGTAGCTTCTATTTTTGATGAACTAAAACTAGGTTTCCTTGTCTAAAATTTGGCGATTATATGGTGAATTTAAGTTATAAATTCTATGCTACCTAATGCTAAAAATAGTAATAAAATGTGTGGCCGACAGAAGGGGCATCTCAAAGTATTATGATGGCAAGTCCAAGTCCTTTACAAGTGTGGCGGATGCTGGATCTGTCAAAGACATTGCAAAACCAGAAAATGCTTACACGAGGAGGCGTAGAAATTTGATGGCCTTCAATCACATTCGAAACATGCCTTTAAGGAGTAATAGTGGAGGCATTTCTAAAAGAACAATAAGCTCGAGCACTTGCCCAAGTGCTGCGGCTCTTGCTTTCGCCATCAACTATGACAGCAGCAGTAGCTTTGCAAGCGAGGACTCATCTTCAAGATCAAATTCGAGGTCGACCCCACCTCCATCCAGTTTCTCAGCCAGGCGATTCTCCTCCTTGGCTGATCTTCAAAATTGTGCCACTGCTGCAACAATAAAAAATGCCTCTGGGAGTGGCAAATGAAGCAGCTCAAACCTCTTTCCTTTTGATTTAAGTCCTTCAAAATTTATAGGATTATTGTGGTGAGTCATCTGCTGGACTCCCTTTAGAAAGTCATACGGCTTACTTACTCAATGAAACATTCATAGAAACAATAAAAAATTGTGAGCATTTTTTTTTTTTTGAAATGAAGTCGCTGCAAAAACCATTGGCGGTCCATCCTCCTCCGTTAAGGCAAAATAATACCAAAAAAATTGTGACAAGTCTAAAATCAAAGAGACATCCAAAGTCTTCCAAAGATGCCCCATAAACTTTTTTTTTTTTTTTTCATTTTGGCGCGCAACAATCATATTGAAATTAGAACTCACGACTTCATATATATACTACTCAACCCCCACCAACAAGCTCATTCCCCATTATGAAGTGATGTATTCCAATTTTTCAGAGAAAGCATCACCACGATATTTTAAAAGGAAAAAATAAATTGCAACTCGTAAGGCTGAATCGATTTTACATCAATGAATAAAACTTTTAATTTCTTTGGCCAAGGCTCCGATTACAATTGCATACCTACATAGAATACACAGCATAAAAAACTAAAAAATAGGTACACGTGAGGAGATGGGCTGCATAATAATAGAAGCAGCACGTCAAGCCTATACTGTTATATCCTATCTTTAGATAATTACAACTTGATGGTTTAACTGTAACTCAGAGAAATTACAAATCAAACCAAGAGAATAATCGTTCTTCCATCTCTGATCGGTGATTAATATGATAACCAAATGTATTCGGTTAAGAGACCAATACATCTGATGGCAACGAAGATTGCTGTCCACTTGAATGGAAACGTTCCCGACTGGGTTGCACTGTCATTTAATTGCAGGGATCAAATATGAAGCTAAGTTTCAAGGTTCAGCAACGATTTTCCATATATAGACCAGTTACTTCTCATGTAAAATAAGAAACTGGGCACACGGATATTCACACAAAAATGCTGGGAGATCAACATCATCAGTATTTATAGCAGGGATTGCCATATCAATATCTTCAGCAGAAAAAGGAATGCTGCAAGAAAAACTGAAGGTTAAAACAAGGGGAGCAAATGGAATTCCAAATATATTATCGGCCCTATGGAAATATTTTACCACAGGAAATCCCATGATTTATATTCAAGAATAAGCATAGAAAATCCAACACAACAGTGACAATGTGGCAACTGTCGTTCTTTGTCAACCCAAAGAAGAATTAAGTATGCAATGCAATTTAACCTAGAAATGCTACATGACAATAAATTAAGCAACTAGAATTTTCCTTGTTTCAGAACTACATAGAAGGTTATTAACAACTAGAAAATTAGAAGCAAAAACATCCTAGAAACAAACTTTGCTTTGTAGCATGGCAATAATAAGAACACTAATCACTTGCTAAAACTGCAAGGAACTGAAAAGAACTCAGATGGAAGGAAAGAAAAGCACCTCATATCATCATCCAACAAGAATGAATTAGAGGTCAAATTCTGATTGTCCTTGCTCACAATTTCCCTCATTTCACTAACTACCTGTTCACCAAATATAGTTCAGAACTCCAAGGAAACTACCATCATCATAAAAGTATTTATAAACACAACTTGCCTCATTGGACACGCTCAGGGTTCCATACTTGTCATCCCAGTACATTGTACTGATTCGATAAATTTGCCTCACAGTTAACGCCTGTTAAAGAAGTGAACTATCATTTCAGCAAAAGTACAAATGATAATATTGCACTAGTGATGCATTTAAAACAATAAGACATATACTTAATCCATATTATTAAATCAGTTAGAAACAAAACTAGAATCAAACAACTCATGGGTCATGATCATAAGTTACTGTGATTGTATTCCCCCAAAAAAAGGTTCAATTTCTCTCGCATCTTCATGAAATGACAGAATTTTAAAATAAATAATTGGAAAGTAATTCAGTATCAATGTGTAATTTGCAATCATTTAGTACACTATAATATAATGATTGTCATACCGAACAAAGATCCTGCCGAATTTCTTCCAAAGATTTTTTCCTCTTCTGATGTATTACCTGTACAATTCAAACAAATGCAAGAATAAATATGGTATAGCAGTGCTATTTGAGACAAAAGTACAACAAAGGTAGTGCTTATACCAGAAACCCAACAGCTTGTCTTATATAGTTCAGTTCATGCCAGGCTGTTCCTGCATTCTACATTTCAGAGGCACCCAATTAAACATTGAAACTAAAATCATGAAGTTATAGCAAGCTCAGTTTACCTCCTCATTTGCATTAGCTATCCATTTCTCCAGTTCTGCAAGACCAGACTTCACATATTCACCATTTGAGAAAGTACAACATTCACGCCGCAACAGAAGACTAAAAGATATAGAGGAAAAATTAAAATTAAAAATTAGATGCTGAACTACAGAAAATGAATTCAATAAACGAAGCAAATTAGTAATTTGAGGCAACAAAAAACATCATTTAGTAAATAGGGCCATTACCTGTTGAAGAGTGTCATATTGATGAAGGAAAAAACCTGGGTAACTAGCTTGCGGATGAAGAAGGATGGAACCTGAGAGCATACAGCTCTTGGTAAGTATTAGGGTTCAGAGAAATTGAGAGCAGAAAAATTAGAAGAAAAAAAATTCTGGTATTGAATGAGTCAATTAACATGCTGTTACAAAGATGGTATTTGTACAAGGATTGACCTAACTAGTGAATAACTAGCTAAGAGGTTACACCAGAAAGGGAAATTAAGCTAACTGTTGACAGCAGTCACTTTGACAGCTGTGCAACTGTAACAAGGCAAGTAACTACACTCGCGCAGCAAAAAAAATGAGGGTAAAAAAATAGATCATATTGAATGATTGATACTTATTAAAATAGGCAGCAAAATTTATAGCCACAAATCATGATTATTCATTTATTTTCTAACAGAAATGTGAATTTTTACAATCTCAACTATAACGTATATAACAAAGAAACACTGGATATCTCTGCTTTCAAAACACTATACTTATACCATTTCAGCTCACCACTCCAAAGCTTCAAAACTGAAGTTTCAACTAGTAAAATGACAATACAACTTAACCAACAGGAAACAAACAACAATGAGCCAATGGTCTGGTGGCACAACTGTGGAGGTAAGTGTTCGGACACCCTCTCCCAAAATATAATTTATCTAAAACAAATAAATAAAATAACCACAGTATAAAATACTTATACATCAGGTCATCAACTAACCCTTTTCATACAACTTTACCTTAACATCAAATAACCGTTTTAGATAAGAAAATAATTTATTAATATATAAAAGTAAGATACAAAATTAGGATAAGAGATCTTCAAGAACTAGAGACGAGACAACAAGAAAGGAAGAAAACATAGTATCAGTGCATGCAAATCTCTTTGAAGATAATGAAGACATTGAACTAAAAAGACCATGAGCAAAACACCACAAACAAGCTAGATAAACTACTTAGTCCCAAATAAACTTAATTGAAGATTGTCAATATTTTAAAAAAACAAACAAGTAGGATCACGGGCTCAAAAATAAATGATTTAACTGAAACTGAACCGGTAATAATAAAATAAGATTTATCAAAATTTTGCTACAACATACTAAAATAATAAACAAAAAAATCATATTCATAACTTCATAACACTAAAAAAGTAAAAATTAGACACCACATATAAATGCCAAAACTCAATAACACTAACATTCAAAGCTTTACATAAAGTCAAATCAAATATGAGAACATTTAAGTTCAACAATACAGTAATATCCATTAGCAATAGTAACATCTACAAATAGAAATTAAATCATATAACTATCAATAATCATAAAATTCAATGAGGCTGACTCCATGTTCAAATATGCTGCCACTTAAAAAAAGTGTTTCTGAAGAACTAGTTAAACTGGTTGAACCACTGGTTAGCCCAATTTAAGACCACCTTTACCATTTTTCATTTGGTTCTTTCATGGAAGGGTTCTGTGGTTGTTTTGGACAGAGTGCTAAGCCAATTCCCAGTTGGTCTAGTCTGGTTTTGATGATCATAGTTCAAATAATGACACTGTAAATTCTTTGTCACTCAATCTCCAAACAAATGATCACAAAGATTGGACCCCAAAAAAAAAAAAGAGTACAGATCAAATACTGTGACAAACAAATCAATAAAACAATAAATAGCATACATGATTTGCACACAGGCGGTTCATGAGTGAATCCAAAAATTTGATGATGTTGTCCCATTGAGCAATAGGTGATTGTTGAGGAAGCCCACCAGGAGATCTAGATGATTTTCCACCTTGTACTCGTCCTGTTTTAGGTGCCTAAACAGTATCATATATTATAAGAAAAATGATTATGTAAAATATCATTTAAAAATCCATGAAATTAAAGCTTGACAACAATAAAAGCACTTTACTAATAAATGGGATAGGCTACATGAATCAAATCACCATTGTGTTCAAACATATACCAAGTCTTCAAAAAGGGAGACTAACATCAGTCCCTTTTAATTAGGGGTGACAAATCAATCCATTTATCCATCATCCATCCAATCCATCCATAAATAAATCCATCCAATCCATCCATTGTAATAAAAATAAATAATGGATCGAATCTAATCCATCCATTTAATTTTATGGATGGTTAGTGATCCATCTACTACTTTTTCAAAATCCATTGGATTACAATATGAGATGCTTATTGAATTGAAATTTTAAAAGAATATTTTGACATTTAAAAAAAAAGTCTTGCAAATTTTAAAAGATTACATAAGAATATAATGACTTGTAAAGAAAAAAGAGAGAAATAAAATATTTCAAAAATAAAATTATTTAATTTTTAAAACATTACTTTTATGGATGGATTGGATATCCATCAATGAAAAAATTGTTAATGAATGGATTACATGGATTTTTATGTTAATTTTTAATGAATCTAAATGGATTAATGGATTATTTTTATCCTATCTATTATGATCAACTAAAAAAATTATCCTATCCATCCATTTGTCACCCCTACTTTTAATTAAATTCCAGTTTAGATGTCTCTTACAATTAATATAAAACTATTACCAAGAGTCTAAACTTCCTAAGAACAGAAAAGGTTTTTAAGAGTTAAAAGGATACATGAATAAATGATCAATTGATTTATAACTGCAAATATTCTTGGCATTTTTACATTATTAGTAA